TAGAATGACCCAGGGTTAACTAGCTCACATGGGATTTAGAATGACCCAGGGTTAACTAGCTCACATGGGCTTTAGAATGACCCAGGTTAACTAGCTCACGTGGGCTTAGAATGACCCAGGGTTAACTAGCTCACGTGGGCTTAGTATGACCCAGGGTTAACTAGCTCGCGTGGACTTAGAATGACCCAGGGTTAACTAGCTCACGTGGGCTTTAGAATGACCCAGGGTTAACTAGCTCACGTGGGCTTTAGAATGACGCAGGGTAAACTAGCTCACATGGGGTTAGAATGACCCAGGGTTAACTAACTCACGTGGGCTTAGAATGACCCAGGGTTAACTAGCTCACATGGGCTTAGAATGACCCAAGGTTAACTAGCTCACATGGGCTTAGAATGGCCCAGGGTTAACTAGCTCACATGGGCTTAGAATGACCCAAGGTTAACTAGCTCACGTGGGCTTAGAATGACCCAGGTTAACTAGCTCACATGGGCTTAGAATGACCTAGGGTTAACTAGCTCACGTGGGCTTAGAATGACCCAGGTTAACTAGCTCACATGGGCTTAGAATGACCCAGGGTTAACTAGCTCATGTGGGCTTAGAATGACCCAGGTTAACTAGCTCACGTGGGCTTAGAATAGCCCAGGGTTAACTAGCTCGCGTGGGCTTTGAATGACCCAGGGTTAACTAGCTCACGTGGGCTTTAGAATGACTCAGGGTTAACTAGCTCACATGGGCTTTAGAATGACCCAGAGTTAACTAGCTCACGTGGGCTTAGAATGACCCAGGTTAACTAGCTCACATGGGCTTAGAATGACCTAGGGTTAACTAGCTCACGTGGGCTTAGAATGACCCAGGTTAACTAGCTCACATGGGCTTAGAATGACCCAGGTTAACTAGCTCACGTGGGCTTAGAATAGCCCAGGGTTAACTAGCTCGCGTGGCCTTAGAATGACCCAGGTTTAACTAGCTCACGTGGGCTTAGAATGACCCAGGGTTAACTAGCTCACGTGGGCTTTAGAATGACCCAGGGTAAACTAGCTCACATGTAAAAAGCCCTACTGTTGCAGATGTACATTTGTCAGAAGTTCAGAATGCAAAAGTATGCGCTGCATTCTCAACCCTATAACAGTTATCAGCTGTTACGACCGTCTTTACACTCTCTACCTGATGGTGGCAGTATAACTTCAGATTGTGACGTCACTGTTAATCGGATAATTTATGGGTGGAGAGTATAAATGTTTGGACCGATTTACTCAATGTTATTTCCTCTGGTGGAACATAGTTCTCCAGACAAGTCGTTTGCTCCAATTTGTTCTATTTTAGTTTCTCTATTATTATTCAGTTATTATATATTCAGTCAGATCCACTACTGTAATGTCAGAGCAGTTTCTTCATTACCACAGTTAAAGTAAGTCAAACTATCATGTAGTGGTGGTATGACCAAAATCATAAAAAAGCTTTGAGCTCTTCTTCATGGCTTATTGCACTTAATAACTCTTTTTAACATCAAGAGACCCATTTTTCTCCTCTTAATTTTCTTCTCATTCTAGCATGTTTCTTTATCACTCTAATTTGTCACAAACTTTAAGTGGTCCTGTGTCCCTTTTGTACTGGATTTGATAAACATCAGATCTAATCTCAGCTGCCGACATCAGTGTATGTTTGTGCATCAGTGTGTGTTTGTGCATCAGTGTGTGTTTGTGCATCAGTGTGTGTGTGTGTTTGTGCATCAGTGTGTGTTTGTGCGTGTTTGTGCATCAGTGTGTGTGTGTGTTTGTGCATCAGTGTGTGTTTGTGCATCAGTGTGTGTTTGTGCATCAGTGTGTGTGTGTGTTTGTGCATCAGTGTGTGTTTGTGCGTGTTTGTGCATCAGTGTGTGTGTGTGTTTGTGCATCAGTGTGTGTTTGTGCATCAGTGTGTGTGTGTGTTTGTGCATCAGTGTGTGTTTGTGCGTGTTTGTGCATCAGTGTGTGTTTGTGCATCAGTGTGTGTGTGTGTGTTTGTGCATCAGTGTGTGTTTGTGCATCAGTGTGTATCAGTGTGTGTTTGTGCATCAGTGTGTGTTTGTGTTTGTGCATTAGTGTGTGTTTGTGCATCAGTGTGTGTTTGTGCATCAATGTGTGTTTGTGCATCAGTGTCATCAGTGTGTGTTTGTGCATCAGTGTGTGTTTGTGCATCAGTGTCATCAGTGTGTGTTTGTGCATCAGTGTGTGTTTGTGCATCAGTGTGTGTTTGTGCATCAGTGTGTAGTGTGTGTTTGTGCATCAGTGTCATCAGTGTGTGTTTGTGCATCAGTGTGTGTTTGTGCATCAGTGTGTAGTGTGTGTATGTGCATCAGTGTGTGTTTGTGCATCAGTGTGTGTTTGTGCATCAGTGTGTAGTGTGTGTATGTGCATCAGTGTGTGTTTGTGCATCAGTGTGTGTTTGTGCATCAGTGTCATCAGTGTGTGTTTGTGCATCAGTGTGTGTTTGTGCATCAGTGTGTTTGTGCATCAGTGTGTGTTTGTGCATCAGTGTCATCAGTGTGTGTTTGTGCATCAGTGTGTGTTTGTGCATCAGTGTGTTTGTGCATCAGTGTGTGTTTGTGCATCAGTGTGTTTGTGCATCAGTGTGTAGTGTGTGTTTGTGCATCAGTGTCATCAGTGTGTGTATGTGCATCAGTGTGTGTTTGTGCATCAGTGTGTTTGTGCATCAGTGTGTGTGTTTGTGTGTGTTTGTGCCTGAGCCCTACTGGACTATGAATGAGACTCATAAGAGCTGATGAAGAGGGAGGAGAGGAAAAGTGCAGCAGAAGAAAAACAGGAACTCCCTGAGGCCGTCCACAGGTCACACACACACACACACACACACACGCAGCACCTGAGAGCCGCTTTTGAAGCTGGCATCAAACACACACATGCTCCACACAAACACACACTGCTCCAGATCTCAGACCATGGCCATTACTGTAGACAGGAGGATCAGTGTTGAGAAGTGTTTAGCCCTGTTTAACACTCCATTTGGGCTAAGATAAATCAAGCTGTTGGAGAGAGGCTCCATTATGAGTGCGGGGCCCCAGAGAGCTGTCAATCACTGAGGGCCACCTTAACCTTTACTGATGATTACAGGGAGACACACAGCACACAGTGACACACAGAACACACACACAGAGCGCACACACACACAGACGCACGCACACACGCGCCTTTTAAAGCTCTCACAGAAGGAAACACACTTGTGGGACTCACAGCCAGTCTCCAGAACTCAACACATCTCGCTGGTCCTGCATTTAGAAGTCAGGGTTTCTGTGTGTGTGAGGAACGAGAGTGAGGTTGAGCAGGAATGAGCGAGTGCCCACAAGCATCCGAAGCTCAAACACAACAATCTGTTCACGTATAATGATGGAGACACAGCAGAGATCGATGACAAGCACATGATGATGTGTAATGTTCATCTCTGAATCCTGAAGGTTTTAAGCTAGCTTGCAAGACACAATTGGAAAAGAGTGTTTGTTAACAGTCATTCAGTGTCCTTGTTTTAATCCCACTAGTAAATAAATACAAATATAATTGCTAAGGATGTACACTATAATCACAATGACATATTTGAATGTTTTTCCCTGTAAAATAATGTGTTTATGGCTTATAATATCTTGAATGTAACTCGACACCCTTGCTTTATTTAATATACACCAACCCATGAATATGCAAATGAGCCCCGCCTCCACTCACTCACTCAGCTCAGAGATCCTCTTGCTCAACTTTACTGCAGTAAACGCAACATAACAGCAAGAGGAAATATTGATTTAATTCAGCCAGAAACTGATTCAGAATGAGAAGGTGAAGAGCAGATTACACCGGCTCGTCTACAGGGCGATGTATCAGAATGGTGATGCGTTTATGAATCGCTCTCTACAACATCAGACACATAATAACAGTAGTTGATATGATTAGCCATTTGCTTGACTACGTTATCAACCAGCTAATAATGTGTTGCTAATGTTACATAAACCATGTTCCCATTCGCCGTCTCAGAGTCAAGCCGCCTAAACATCAAGACCCTTAGAAATAATGATAGGAAAAGCCCCGCCCACACGTGACGGGATTGGTCACATGTTTGTGATGCGGGAAACAGGGGCATTTTTGAGACTGTCTTTGGTTCACTGCAGTTTTAAGGAGAAAATACTCACCAATGCTGTCGACTTATGAACTTACACATGGTGTGTCTTTTAATTAGCACATTAAAAACACCACATAGACACATAAATAACATTAAAGGCTGGATTTAAAAATAGGGTGTCTTTAACATACAAAACTATAAAATTATTCAGAAACTTTCTGAAATCCATTACACATTCAACACTGCACACTATGTCAGTAACATTAGAATATACACTGTTTGTGTTTCTTAGAAGGTTTGGGTTACCCTGCTAGCCTGGTTAGTGTTTCAAGGTACGGGTTGGTAATATATAAATATATATATATATTCAGAAACAGATTTAAATCTTTTAAATCTTAAAGTTTAAAGTCCCCCTGTGGTGTAAATCCAGCGTTTAATGTTGTTTATGTGTCTATGTGGTGTTTAATACGCTTTAAGACACACCATGTGTAAGTTCATAAGTCGACAGCATTGCTGAGTATCTCCTCCTTAAAACTGCAGTGAACCAAAGACAGTCTCAAAAACACGGTTTGAAATCGCTGGTGTTTCTGACGTCACAAACGACCTTGTAACCAATCAGATCAACGTGTGATCGTCAACCAGTGGATCTCTGAGCTGAGTGAGTGAGTGGAGGCGGGGCTCATTTGCATATTCATAGAACCGAGCATACTAAATGAGGCGAGGGTGTCGAGTTACATTCAA